TTCATTTTGTACATAATTTGGAATATTTTTTCCATCTCTTGATACAGCTATTTCAAGACTACCAGCACCAGCATTTGTTGCATCAACTAAATATTAGAAAAAAGAAAAAAAAAAAAAGAAGATTTCAATTAAATATTATTTACTAGTAAAATATGTTGATGAACCAACAATAGTTGATGATGGAAAATTAAGAATTTTTATTTGATTAACATCAAATGATCGAGCTATGAATGGACTCTTATCAATTGGTATATTATCATAAAAAATTTCTATACGAATTTCACCTGCAAAAAAAAATAAATTTATTTCAAACAATAAAAATAAGCCTATAACTAACCAACACGATCAGGTGTATAAGTAACTTCATATCGATTTAAATCAATTTTTGTTAAAAGACATTCAATGACATGATTATTCGGTCCTATAAATATTTTATATATTTTGAATTTCTTTTTTAAATAATAAAAAAAGAAATTCTATAGATCACACCTTTTATCAAACATTTCAATATTCCATTAGTACCATCAGGTGTTAAAATTGTAAATGATGTTGGAATATGAATTGGAATTGAACCAAGACCTTTACCAATTGCAATTATACGTTGTATTTCCATAACATTTACAGGAAATGGACTTCCTAAATAAGTTATTTAGTATATCTATATTAAAAATAATCATGATTATAAATTTCTTTTTTTTTCCTGTAAGAATCTAAGAAAAGTACATAAAAATGTTTGAAGTAAAAATTGATATTTTATTAATAACAATCATATATAAAATTAAATTGTTTCGCTCAACTATATTCATTCATTTTTTTTTCACTTAGTAAAAGTTGATGCGCTTGAAAGAACGGTACATAGGTCCACTTTTACTTTTTTTTTTTTTCTTTTGATTTGACCTCGCCTACTTTATATAGTCGTATGTCTATGCAATGAAGTTAATAACTGTACATATGTATACATATATGACACAAAAAAGAAAAAGGTTGAGTAGTAATCTTCTTTAGTTAATTATATATTTTGAAAAGTCATTGATTAAAATGATCATAGGCTATAGAAAAAAGATTTATGTATACTATTAGTGATATCTAAATATAAAATAAAAGCGTGAAAAAGAAACCTTGTTAATGTCAAATATATACACTTAATCGATCATCTTTTTTTTTTTTTTTTTATCTATCTACATACACAGCAAAGAAAAAATTGAAGGTATCTGTCTGTTCAATTTATAATTATAATTAAATGACGTATATAATATTATTTACCTGATACATGTTCATTATTGAATAGAATATTGCAATAATGTATGAAAGGTTTTTCTGGAATAAATTGAACTTCGAAATAACTATTTCCAAATGGATTAATTTGATTAGGAATATGATAATCAGAATAATTAACACTTATTTCAAGATTACCTTCACCTGCTTTTGATGCATCAACTATTTAAAAAAAAATATATATAAAAAATTAATTATTTGAATTCTAATCTATTTACTTAGAAATTTTGTTGGTTCTCCAATAATACTATTATTTATAGGTGGTATAACAATAACTTTTTTTGGATCATAACATTTTACACGTAATGGACTACCAGGTATTGAATAACCATATAATATCATATGAATAATATAAGTTCCTATTTCTAATGGTGTCCAATCTATTCGAAGTCCATCGGAAGTTAGAAGTGTTGATGGTTGTATTTGTTCATTAGTTGGTGTAAATATAGTTATATGTAAATCAGATAAATCAACATGTAATATATCAATTGTAAACCAAGTTTGTGTATCAATTAATATTGATTGAAGATTAGGACCATGAATTTTTATATTATCTGATGTAATAACTTGACAATGTTTTGGAAATCCTATAATAAAAGAAAAAAAATTCAATTTTTATCAATTTATCTTCTTTTTTTTTTTTTATTGTTAAAGATTTTTATCTACCAGATACTTGATGTCCATTAAATTTAATAGAAATAATATAAGGTTCATTTAATAATGGAATAAATTGAAATTGAAATTTTGAATTTTCTAATGTTTTAACTTGTTTTGGTACTTGATCATTATTAATATCAACATCAAGTTGACCTTTACCAGCATTTGATATATCAACAGTAAATTCAATTGGTTGATTAATTATTAAAAAACGTGGAATATCTGAGATAATTAAACGATTTGTTTCATAAGTTTGAAGTAAACATGATGAACCATATATTTCCATTTTTTTTGACTCGATTAAACATTCACAAGATATAAACCTAATGGGGAAAAAATAAAACATATACAGATAAATGAAAGTCAGACTGATATTTTTCTTTCACGGTCTTATTATCTGATCTATAGAATATACATATAGATGTGTTTATATGCATATAAAATGATGATAGAAAAGAAAGATGTGCCAATATGGTATATAAAAGATGAGCATATATGAAGATACGTATGTGTGAGTCCTTGATTTTATATACTATACTACTGAGGCGTATGCTACATCAATCATTAAATGTAAAAAATTAATTTTTTTTTTTTCGTTTTTCTTAAGGTTCAATTTGAATAAATTGAACCTTGTCAAACTTTATACGTTAATTATGTTCAAAAAAAGAAAAGAAAAGAAAAGTGAATGTTAAATCATAACTTGCTTTGATCACTTTATCTTTCAATACAAATATCGATTGACATGTTGACTTAGTAATTTTTGATGTTAATGTATTATCTGATCATTCCTTGATTTCATTAAAACTATAATCAATATATAGATTTCTCTCAATTGAATATAATCGTTTAAAACAAACAAAGAAAATGACTTGATGAACACTTTTTTTATATTGAGAAAAAAAAAACAATAACAAACCTCAATTGATAAGATGATTATTAAAACTAATATTGTTACTAAGTGTGTATATAAAAAAGAAAATGACTGATCAAGATTGATTATTAATATCAAAGTGCAAAAGCTTATAAGATACATCAATCGTTATGTCATGACGTGCGTGGGAACGTGTTATAGAGTAAACTATATTCACATTTACATGCATGAAATATTGCTCATATTCACGCTTCATATTCTTGACACATACGAGAATATAAGAATACTTTGTAAAGAGAATTCACATATATGTGAGCAAGACAATATTACAATGAACTAATAAAAACTGACAAATGTAATGATCATCTGACAACGTATAGTCATATAGAATAGTAAAAGGTGCAAAGATAAGAGTCATACATAATGTCATTTTATATATCTAGATCAGAGAATAATTTATGTTTATATATAATAAATCTAAATATTTGCTGGTTCTGTTATTATCGAAAGTTATCTGTTATGAAAAGCATGGATGAGGTTGGTATGTTCGCTACTGTTCAATTCAACAACATCCACATATCCTTATTGATCATCTCGAAAATCTAAAAGAGAATATTGAAACCATTTGCAATGATTTCGTTCGACAACTGATCAGATCTTATTCTTTTTTTTTTTGATCAAACTGGAATAATTCAATAAATAAAAGAGTAAAATAAAAAGTTAGTAGAAGAATTAGTAAAATATATTTTATATTCAAATAGAAATATTTTTTTTAATATTAGTCAAAACAACGAAAAAAGAAAAATAAAGAAAACTTGTTTATTTTAATACTTAATCAATATTTGATAAAATATTTAATTAGAATCTTTATTTTATCTTCTATATTTATTTGAAAAATAACAATTGAATTGAATTTAATTTATATTAATAAAATAGTTTTTTTTTGTTTATGAAGATTATAAATCTATTTTCCAGAAATTAATCATATTTGATAATTGACTTTTTTTTTTATTCGAAACTATAATTTGTTTTTTTTGTTCTTTTTTTATGAAATAAAATCAATTGATTAAAATACATTTTGAACTTAATATAGATAATTAAACGTATTGTTTTCAATAAAAGGATATGAATGAATATTAAATTAAAGATATTTCGTTAGAAAATTTATTGTTCATATATGAGTTATATTTGTTATTATTGTTTAATATTAATTAGAAACAAAAGAAATTATTTATTTATTGAATAGTTTAGTCATTTTTCTAAAAAAAAGAATCGTGTCTTATCTTATACAGTCAGATGTAGTGATATTAATCAGTTCAATTTCTCAAAAACATTGTGTCCATATTACATAGATTAAATAAAACAATAGATTATAACTATTAAGATATTTCTTATCAAAGAATAACGATCACTTAAATATTAACGGTATTGACATCTTTCAGTTAACATCTGAGTTTATCAGTGCACTTCATCGTCAGAACCAGTGATGGGGACGGTTCGGTTCACAAATTTTTAAACCGATCTCGGTTTCGAGAAAACACAAACCAAGCCCATCAAAAAACAGTTTTTCAATACATTTCTCAGCTTATGTTAAATCTCAGTTCGGTTCATTTTTCAAAAACCCCGAACCGTGCTCATCTCTGGTCAGAACCATGTCTATAGACGCATTAAGAAACCTATATGCGCAAATAAAATTGAGTGACGTATTTTACCTGATAGACAACTTTTATTTTTAATAAATTACGTAGAACAAATAGAAAAATACAAAATTAATTTTATCTAATTGAAGAGTGATTAGCATAAAGGGTGTGGGTGAGCAAAAACTACACAACAACTACAGCCGTCCTCGCACCCCCCTGTGACCACCAAAATGACATACGTTTTATATCATTTTAATATATTCTATTTACAATTTAGTGTTTGAAATAAATATTGAGGATATTGTGCATCATTTATAAAACGAAGATCATTTTTAATTAAAAATAAATCATTTGATGTATAAGAATTAAGACATAAAACACATTCATAGATATTTTATGTTTTATATTGAAGAACATATTCAAATACAATTAATTGATTCAGTATGATAATTAGAAATAATTGAAGAAAGGTTTGTATTTGATAATAAAAAATTTGAATATGATGAAAATGAATCACTAAAACAATGAATATTATTTATTATTAACGAAAGATTATTTTAATATAATTGATGATCTAAAAATGAAATAGAAGTTAAAATCATAAATAAAATCTTTCTTACTCATGAAAAATGAATTATTTTCTAATAATTGTTTTGAATCATTTATACAAATTGGTACATTACCATGATGTTTATTTAATACACGTAAAACAATATCTTGAACAAGATTTGATATCACAACAGAACCATCCGATACACTAGAAAGAATAATTGTTGCTACAAAAAAAAAAATTTCTTATATACGAACTATTTGTAGGTGCATTGATAGCATAGTAATAGATGATGTATGTAGATGTAATTTAAGTATCATTTGACCATGAAGAAGATTAAAAATATTAGATGTATCATCATTATATCCAGCAACAATTGATTGAATAGTTATTCAAATGTTTTCTTTTTACTGGACTTGTTATACCAGTTGAATCATTTTTAGAAACAATAGAATTATCACATAATATTAAATAAGTTACTTTCTAAATAATTCAAATAAATAAACAATATTTTATATCATAAATTTTTTTTACTAATCCATTTGCATTAAAACAAAGAATTTCATTTCTATATTCTAATTGAAAATTCTTATTGTAGCATCTAAGTATTTGTTACTGAATGCGTATCTTCAATAGATATAACACCAGCTGTATGATCTGTATGTGATGCAACAAGACGAGTTTTTGATCATTCTGTTGTTCAATAAATACATCACAATGATCCACATAATATACCAACAATATCCATATCAAATATATTATTAAATGATTCGCTAATAATTCCATCATCAAGTTGAAATTCATCTTGAATTGTTAAATCATAATTTCTAAAGAAAAAAACGTATGAAAAACATTTAAATGAAAAAAACACATACGAAGGGTATGGGTGTGGGCGAAAACAAGACTACAACTCACACCCACACCCAAAATATTCATACAGAAAGGCTGTGAAACCGTAAATTGTTCACTAGCCAGCTGTAGGTTTACGTTTTAGTAGGCCTAGATTAAGTGAGGGAAGATTCATAGCGTCTTATATCACACACATTGTTAGCAGAACACACTTTAGAAACAATACACTCTATGTGACAAGTTAGCTATGGAAAAATTCTAAATTATTATTTACAACGAAATAGTTCTTGATTATAATTATCTAATTTCTCTGATGGTATACTAATATTTCACCAATATTCGTGTATATGTCATTATTAGAATGAGTTTAAATCCTTCATTTCAATGCATGTCACAAGTTTGCTCGCAATATCTTGATGCTCCTAAGATGCGACGGTTTATTGACGTCTATTGTTCGTTATGCATGAAACAGAATTTTAAATAGACAGAGACAATGTTGCTCATTGTTGAAATCGACATAGCTCATCTTTTAGTTTGAAGGAAATGACTAAGACTTCTGAAAAACTCATTTCGATGCTTGAGATATCTGGCTTTGATTTATTTCGTGGCGTAAGATCGATTGAATCTATGTAATTTCCAATTATTCATTTCCTAGTAATACCTTTTATCGTCTTCAAAATGATACAAATCGAATATGGAAATTTCAACGATATTCATTAATATGTGAATATTTATCTCGACCATCAATACCATCCCCATTTATTATTGTTGCTCATCTTTGGCGATTGATATTTACTACTTTATCATTATGTTCCGAATCATCATGGATTAGAGAAAAACATGATCAATATATAAAAGGAACAAAATAAGGTAAGAAAAACTTTTTTATTTGCGTTTTGATTTAAATCTTTCTTTTTCTTCGTTACAGCAATAATGTTAGAAGAAAAATTTGCTAGTAATATTGAAACAATTGAAGATGCATTTAGTCACGAAGTTTATTATAATTGTATGAAGAGTGCTGAAAAATTCACGAATGAGCATGATCTTGATGAAGAACGAGTGTAAGTTGATAGTTCAAAACGTAATTATTTTTTTCTAATATATATATTTTTATATGTTTAGACAAACACCACAAGATTCAATAGCCAAGAAAATGCAAATACTTGAGACTCGAGTAAAAATGATTAGTAATCAACTAATACTTTTCATTATTCGTTGGCTTACATGAAAATATATATGTGTTAAGCAAGATAATGTATTAGAATATCTTCGCTGTTTAATGAATGGTATGAAAATGATGGCAGGTGAATGTATTAAAGTGTCTGAACTCCGTCGTCTCGATGCAGAGGAATTAAGTATATTTATAATTTATTTAATTAAAGAAAATGACTCTTTTTTTTGTAACTAAATAGTTGATGAAACAATCGGTCCTAGTGATCAGTCAAGACGAGATCTTCAACGAGATTCGATAATAGCGGATACACGTCGCACATCAATCACTCCTGGAATTTTACAAGTTTCATCGATGAATTTTTTTCAATCTCTTAAAACGTAATTAAATCAAAGAGATTATTTTATGTACGTTTATGTGTTCTTTTGTTTTTCTTCATAGTGAATAATGCAAAGATAAAGTATTTGATGAAATCATGATGTAGTTTTCTTTGCTTGCAGGATGCTTTATGGACATCTACAATAGTGATAAACGAAATATAAATTATTATTTTAATTCAGTGTCTTTTATATATACCAGTATTATGTTTTATGTCTTTCATTCTTCAATAATTTAGTCTTTTTCTTGAATAAAATAAATATTATTGCTATTGGTTCGAACATTTTATTTTGTTCCATGTCAGAAATTAGAAATTCTACCTTACTCTTGTTTCAAAGTTGAACATATCTTATTCGATTCGACTGCCTAGAGATCATTGTACGCAAGAGAAGACCCTGACTAAAACAGACCATGGACTCAATGGATATCAAGAATTTCAATGAAAATTTGCCAGTATGTAGCATCATGTGAGATGGATATATACTATTATAGATACTTTATATATCAGTTTTCTCGAAATCACTGTTTGGTATGTTAAACTTTTCCATCTGTTATGAATGATCAATGAGCTTCCACTTTCAAACACTGATTTAACTAGTTATTGCGTGTGTTTAATTAATTTGTATGTGGATCATTCGAAAAAATATTGTTCTGTTCTCGAGATTTTCAAGTTTTTCTGAAAGTATTATCGCCAACAGACATATTTTGTGTGGATGTGGGTGTGAGTATGGGTGTGGGGTGTGGGTCGGTGTGGGTGTGGGTGTGGCTGTGAGTGTGGGTGGGTGTGAGTGTGGGTATGGAGTGTGGATCGGTGTGGGCGTGGGTGGGTGTCGGTGGGTGTGGGTGTAGTTGTGGGGATGGATGTACCTGCTTTCTTCGTTCACACCCACCCACCTACATCCACATCCCAAATGCACACTCTTACACCCACACCCCCACCCACCTCCACCTCCCACATCCACACTCTCACACCCACCCACCCACACCCGCACCCCGTCCACACGCACACCAACCCACACTCACATCCACACCCCACACTCACAGCCACACCCACTCCCACACCCTATCCTCATCCACACTCACACCCCATCCACACCCACAGCCATACCCCCCCCCCCCCCCCCCCCCCCCCCCCCCCCCCCCCCCCCCCCCC